TACAAAGTTCATTTTTTGTACCATTCGTTGGATGATTTCTATTGGATTGCTAGGAAAGACTTACTGCAGAGTGCACCGCGTGTCGTTAATGCCTATGAACGATTGATAAGTGTTGAACAGCAACCAAAGCTTACTGCTACCCTGACTCCTACGGAACACGCCCGATCTCTCTTTGCTATCTACGCCTATGATGCACTATGCAAGGACTCTGATTGAGTTACTCGCTCGAAGGGACCTCGCTCTTGAGGGGGGGGTAGTGTAATGACCCGTCATAACACAGACTGAGAACACTGCTGATTTCTGAAGTTCTGCCGATGGAATGGATGCCTTGATGAGATTCCCGCGTTCTGCTGTGTTTTCTAAGTCTGTCTGTGTGTGTGTGTGTGTGCTTGTGACCTGCATGCCTGTCTGAGTGCTTGTTGGTATGAGTGTGTGTGGGACCCGCAAGGGCACTTGCTTGTTTGGTAGACCCGTAGGGCCGGTACTTACCTGTGGCCGTGGCCTTGAGGGTTGTAGCAGGGAAAACACTCAAGTGGCGAAGCTAGCGGCCCTGAGGCCCTTGGGGTAGCGGAAAAACACTCAAGTAGGCCGGTAGGCCAATACTGCACCCCACTGCGGTTGGCGTGAGGGGTACTGGAGGCCGAGCAGAAAAAGACAAAGTTGGCATTTTTAGAGTCCAGTAGCGGTAGGGTAGGTCTAGGCCGGTACCAGTCCAACCAGTCTGAGTCTAGAGCCTGTACGGGTAATATCAGGGTCTGCAATGATGTTTCCCTCCGAAACGGAGGAGGTACCGGTTGCTTGGAGAGGCCGAGCGGCCTGGAAGTCACCGCCCAAGAGGCAAGCAGGCCGCTATATCTAGAGGCAGAGGCAAGAGCTCCGCCTCATTCTTCAATGTGCGAGTTGGGCGTCACGCTGCTGGAGCGCTAGGTGGAGCGCTGGGCACAACAGCGCTGCTGGGAGGACGAAGCCGGGAGCTTCCACCTTGGCTATGGTGGAGCTCAGCCGGTAGGAGGAGGAGGGAGAAGGGGACCAAGGAGGAGAGTGGTAGGGTACTTACCTGGCTATGGTACACACCATCTTCATCTCCTTGCTAGGCGCTGCATCAGGAAGGCCTGAGTGGGGGTAGTGCTGCATCAAGGACGCTCGGACAGAGTCAAGCATGGCGGTTGAGTGGGCAGCGGCATAGCTGCCGGGKGATGACCTTGGAGTAGGGCAGCGGTGTAGCTGCTTTAGGTTGTCTCTTGTACAGGAGGCTGAAGCCTCCGTAGTCCGCCATAGCCTCGGCCTGTATGTGGAGGAAGAAGAAGGGCTGCCATGGCTATGGTGGACCTCATCTTGTGCCTGCAGTAGAAGTGGGATTCGGACATTGATTCTGGTTCAGCTGTTCAACATTATTATTGTTTATTTATTGTTTGAATAAGAGAGGAGCAGATTAAGAGGAGGAGGTTGTTGAGCGAAGATGAAGAGCTTTGTCTTTGATCTATGCTGGAGTACATCATCTCTTTCTTCTTCTTAATTCTTCTTCTTCTTTCCCTCTCTTTCCTCTCAAGTTCTTTCATTTCTTTTGGAATTGGACGGCATTGGGCTCAAGTTCATTCATTTCTTTTCGCAATTGGACGATATTGTACTTTCTGATGATTGTGGACTTCGAAATTGGCCAGGATCGTAACATATGTCTGGAAAGGATAAGTCAAGGTGTCTTTAAGGGTTTAAGGAATGCAGGGTAGGAAGGGAGCATGATCTCATAGACTATAGATGACAGCAGTGCAGTATCAGTTAGGGTGTGGGAAAAGGGCTCTTAAAAGGAAGGACGGTTCGAGAGGGTCATGATGGAGGTGGAATTAAAATCATTCTTCTTTGTTGTGCACTACAGGTGTTAGGTAGGCAGAAGAACGCAGAGTTAGCTTTGGAGAATTAGCACAGCAAAAAATTTATCTGCTGGTCTTGGTACTGGTAAATCATGACTGCATTACGACCAACGGTTTAGGGTTTAAGGTTTATGCAGAAACAAGGCACATACGATAATAGAGGTATAGAGTTCAAAAGACTCATAAGTGTCCCAGAACGCTCTTGCATAACATATCTACCCGACAGCTTCATAGCTGAGAGGAGCAGAGCTGGGATCAGATAGATTGTCAGGCAGAGTTAGTACAGGCTAGCTTAGGCAGGGGTGAGAGGTGGTACATC